GTATTGACATCTAACCCACCACCACCACTCCGTGTCTCACTATTGTACGCAGTATTGACATCTAACCCACCACCACCACTCCGTGTCTCACTATTGTACGCAATATTGACATGTAACCCACAACCATCATTCTGTGCCTCACTATTATACCCAATATTGACATGTAACCCACCACCACTCCGTGCCTTACATGTGTATGCACTATTGACATGTAACCCACCACCACAATTCTGAGCCTCACTATTGTACGCAATATTGACATCTAACCCACCACCACCACTTCGTGTCTCACTATTGTACGCAGTATTGACATCTAACCCACCACCACCACTCCGTGTCTCACTATTGTACGCAGTATTGACATGTAACCCACCACCACCACTCCGTGCCTCACTATTGTACGCAGTATTGACATCTAACCCACCACCACCACTCCGTGCCTCACTATTGTACGCAGTATTGACATCTAACCCACCACCACCACTCCGTGTCTCACTATTGTACGCAGTATTGACATCTAACCCACCACCACCACTCCGTGCCTCACTATTGTACGCAGTATTGACATCTAACCCACCACCACCATTCCGTGTCTCACTATTGTACGCAGTATTGACATCTAACCCACCACCACCATTCCGTGTCTCACTATTGTACGCAGTATTGACATGTGACCCACCACCACCATTCCGTGAACCATATTGGACTACTATTACTGTTCGCAAAGTATGATGGCGGTCGTATTCCACGTTACTACAATGAATTCGTAATTTTTTACTATGACAAATTTACGTTGTTGAATTATATAGCTAGATTGCAGCAAGACATATATTTATATATATATTTAACAATAGCCGGTGTTTATAAAACGTTTACGCTACGTGACATATACGCTACGTCCTAGTATATTGATTATTATTTTATTATTATTGAGATGCTTTGATTTACATTAGGCGGCGCCCTCTTGGGTTCTATGTTGTCATCGTATCCTCGGGGGGCGGATATCCGGGCATTTTCACCGCTTGGCAACCCTGGCGGCGAAAACAAAGGCCAAAAACTCGCAGGAAACGGTACTTTGGGATGGTGGTTGAGACTCTTCTGAACAGTATAACAACATTTGCCCTGCGTGTGTAACATATATAAATTTGATTGTTCAGGATTACTTCAAAGTTGAGTTTGTGTTGTTTTCTCGAATTTTCACCGGCTCGACCGGCGTCCCACAGCAGCGCTCACAGAGCCCATGGAAATACATGTACAGTGGTCCGCGTCTTTGCAACGTGGAACGTCTTGTGACGTAGCTCCGCCCCCGAGGATACACTCTCGTTGTTATTTTTACTTCTTCAGTCATGTTAGTAATAAACCTGTTGTGGTTTTGTTATACACATGTTTATTACCATTGTTTCGCCTGTCACACGCTACATGTTTTAAAAGGGCTTTATTTTTTCTATCATGTGTGGAGGTCAAAACATGACTTGCTAATATATGTCCGTAGAGGGCGTGAACACAATGTCTGATCCCTAACAACAAATAGCTGACTGACGATATCAAAATGTTCGAGCTTGGACCTGAATTCAAATGTGTTCGAGCTAGTCTTAAATGGGCATTAACAGTCATATCTTTCTATTATGTATAAATACCATACTTTTTTTATATTTATCTATATTTTTTTTATTTTCCACACAATATTAACATAATAACAAACGCGTACACAGACAGAGAAACCAAAAAGAAAACATGAAATGTTGGCTATTGTGTTTTCTACTGTTTACCTTTCAAGGCCAGCTGTCACGTGTTGTTTGTGCTATTTTAATAATAAAAAAAAATTACAATTACAAAATGACGTTTTTAACCAGTTCGTTTCGTTGGTATTTATAAACTTTGAATTTAAGCAGTGTTGACTGCAGGCGTTGAATGAGTGGCTACTCGTTAATTCAAATCCTAATTGGCTCCCATTTCTGATAATGATATAATATTTTGCCTCTATTTAAAGTCAGTTGATGTTCTATATTGTGGTCTTTAGTGTATGACTTGAAACTAAAAAATAATAAGATTTTTTTTTAAATAAAATAAATGATTCAACATAATATTTTTCACCTCATAAATGCCAAATATAATATTTTGTATATTACAATCTGTATTTGAAATTAAATTACAGTTTTGCTGCAATTTTTCCCACAATGACTGTACACAGTGGCATTCCACAAACAAGTGCTCTATGGTTTCAATTTCTGTATGACACATAACACAGAGAGGGGAGGCTACTAACTTCCATTCAAAACGTTTTGAAAACGTTGGAATGTATCTATGGATAATTTGAAACTGAAAGGATCTAAGATCTGTTGAAATTTTATTAGGTAAGGTAGATTGAAAATTGTCTTAATACTGAAGATACAACATACAGTTCCTCCAACTTAGATTTAATAGTTGGAGATTCTATTATATTATTATACATATGCTTATATACGCGTTTACTTGTTAATGAATTAATATGTATATATGATGAATTAAAATAAATTAAATTTTCTAGTTCAAACCACTTGTAACTGTTATTATGAATTTGAGTTTACCTTTTTTCGGTATTGCAGAATTAAATCCCTGAATATGTAAATAATCTAAAGTTGTTTGCCAGTAATTCAAGATGTGAAGGTTACCCTTATTATCGAATAAATCAATAATTCTAGTAATATTTTTAATTGCCAGTGATTTGAAATAAACTGAATGAAGGGGGAACTTGTGCAAATGCTGCCCATTCAAGGCAGATATCCAGAAAGAATGGCGAGACAATTTCTTTCAGTTCCTGTACATCGTAAGTGTAGAGAAAAAGTAATGTCTACCACCAACATTTCTTCGTCTTGCATGACCACCTGCCATCCGGCTTGACCTCCCATGGTAATGTTTTTAATCTATTTAAACTTCTGGGCTTTCAGAAACGAATCAATTTCAATCCTCTTTAGTCCACCTTTTTCAATGTCTGCAATTATTGTACTGCGTTTTACTTTATCTTTACCATTCCATATAAAATTAAACACTATTTTTTCAATTCCTTAATAACAGTCTTAGGGTTTGAACCATTGTTGCTACATACACAAATTGTGATATTCCAAACGTCTTCAAAATTTGTATTCTCCCGATTACAAAACAGCGCCCTCTGGGACCATAATCCACAGATTTGTTTTAGTCTTTTTAATTTACTCTTAAAATTCTCTTCAATAAATTTCTTAGCATCATATGTTAAGTAACTTCCCAAAATTTTGATTCCATCAGTCCAACTTATTTGTTTGGGGTTTATGGCCATAACCCATGAGCAGGGCTTCTGTCTTATCCTCGTTAAGTTTTAGACCCGAACCTAATCCATAATTATTAAATTTCAATTGACTTTTCATTGGTAAAACAGGTGATATCATCCGCATACATTGCTAACTTGATATGTTTTTTTGAAAATTCATAACAAACTACTTGTGGGTTTCTACGGATATTGATTGCAAGCAGTTCTATAACTACATGTACTACAAAAAGGTACGGGGATAGAGGGACCCCATGGCGCACCCCCTTATCGACCGAGAAATAACCAGTATAGTACCCATGGTTCATAACACAGGAAGAGATGATGTTATTATTAATATATCCATTCCCATTTGGTGTAAACAACATCAGTGGTAAAATAGTAATCTAAAATCACGTTATATTCACAAAGATATTATGTGTTTATATTTGACCTAATTTGTGAGATGTGTATTTAAAATTATTGTTTGCATTACTTTTTGGCGACAACAACGGTTCTATAAAACTTGGTAGTATAAGTCGAATCAATTGCAACAATGCAAGGCTGGTCGTTAAAATCTCATAACAACATTTAGTACTCGCCATTCTACAGAGGAAATGATTACCAAACATTGCAAATAGCAAAATCCACCCAATTATGACGCTAATTGTATTTTTATACGATGTGAGAGATTTTCATTGAAAAAAGTGCATTTTCAATGTGGTACTGTAAAAATGACTAATTTTCACTGGGTTTAAATTTCACTGATTTGCCATTTCAGGCATATTCTTTGGGTTTTAAATTCACGGTTTTATCATTTAGATAATATGTTCTATGCTAAATTTTACATATTCACTGGGTTTTAATTTAGCGCATTTTCCAGTCAGCGAAATAAGCCAAATTAAAACCCAGTAAATAATTAACCCCTTTACAGTATCTTTAATGTGGCATTGATGCTTCAACCGTATCTTAAATTTGTTATGTGATATTGTAATATAGAAGTAATATTTGATGCAGAATAACAACACTTCTGAAAAAAACATCACATGGACACCTGAATTATCTGTTAAATCGCCCTCATTTATATCAAGGTATATCGTGATGAATGTGACATTCACATAACATATAAAGTACAAAGTCCTTTACCTCGCTATCGTTGACGACTTCATTGTTTGCTGTAACCGCACGTATATGTTAGTCCCTCTACTGTAGCTATCTCTCTCAGTTTTATTCGTCCGCCTTTATTTTACGGTAAGTCAATGTAAAACATAAATACAATGTTTTGCTATTTGAGACGCACATTAGACGCATATTATTTCATGTGGCAGTTTCAAATGAATGCAACCATTATCTTGTTTTTGTAATCTGTGATAAGTACTTTGCTTAGTCAATTCATAAGCATGAGTGACGTTGATACAATTTCTTGCACATAATATGTTGGTCGACCACAAAATTGAACGTTCATAAACCAGGAAGAGTTCCATGGAATTCAGAATATTTTCACTTGTCGAATTTAAAAACGGTTTAATTAAAAAATAATATACCATCTCAAATTTATTAGTTCGAATAAAATATCAGTGATTGGTAGTACAACAACTATGTACATATTATCAAGGTTAGATCGTGATCTCGTCCGAATAGTCTGGCTTTAATTTAATAATTTGTCAACGCTGTACGGTCGTCACGATGTTACTACGCACTGATATATCTTCAACTTGAGATGTTGAATAGATATGACTTTATGAATTGTAGGTCACTTTGCTAATATAATTGTACTATACCTTCCCCTTTACTAAACCTAAGTTTCGCCGCAAACATTTCTATGTTCATTCTCGAGATATTCAACTTTTATTTAAGGTAGCGAGACTATTATTTGTGTTGAAAATTACGATTTTCACATTTATTTATTAATTGATGAAATGCACTAGGAACTTTCATCTTGATAAAGTCAACATAACATAAAATGTCATGTAAGCATGGAGGTAGAAATTTTCTACCTCCATGATGTAAGTAAGTTAAAATGTATATTTTCTGAAAGGAAGCAAAGCAGCTTCAGTAGTGTTTTCCAAAATCAACAACACAGGTTTAATCTGTGTGCCTATAAGTTTCAAAGATTAACTCAAGACAAAGCAATGTTAGGATGTGTTATCAGTAGCTATCTGACACACAATGAGTGTTTCTAAACATTTGAGTGTTTTGTCTCCGCCCCTGTTTGTTTCACAGATTAGTCATTTGCATATGAATGTGTCAGACACAAGGTCACAATGCCACTGAAAAAAATCATTGATTTTGGTGTTTTCATCTGCCGATTATATCGAATTATACCTATCCCATTCCTTTATTTTTTGGTTTCCAATAGCCTTACACATTTGGATGCCCCTACACATGTTAAAACATACATTCATGGGAAAACAAATTCGATTGTGCCGATAAACAAGCTTGAAAATCTTTGCTGTTACTTCATGGACGTTTTCTAGGAGTTTATATTTTTCAAAATACATGGTCTTTAACAAAAAATAACGAATACTTATTGTCGTCGGATTCACACCAAATTTTCACAGCTTTAAGGTGACAATGAGAGGAATTTGAATGTGTCCAGACAAACTATTTCATGGATTATTTACCAATGTGTTGTGGTTTGATTTGGGGCAATGCGACTAAACAGAAATTAAAATTCAGGACACTACTTTTCAAAACGCGTTGCTTGAATAAAACTGACCAGACACATTCAATTTACCAAACTATTGAACAACTAGGAAAAGTGAATAAAAAACTTCCTATCACCAGCATAAATGCGTAATTATATTTTTTCCAAAAAAAGTAATTTTTCACTTTTGATTAAGGTAGCGAGACTATTATTTGTGTTGAAAATTACGATTTTCATATTTATTTATTAATTGATGAAATGCACTTTCATATGATAAAGTCAATATAACATAGAATGTCATGTAAGTTGGTTAAAATGATTTTCTGAAGGGAAGCAAGGCAGCTTCAGTAGTGTTTTCCAAAATCAACAACACAGGTTTAATCTGTGTGCCTATAAGTTTCAAAGATAAACTCAAGACAAAGCAATGTTAGGATGTGTT